ATGTATATATGTGTATATGTGTATATATGTATATGTGTATATATATATGTATATATTTGTATATGTGTATATATATATGTATATATGTGTATATGTGTATATATATATATATATAATGTATGTGTATATAAAATGTGTGTGTGTGTGATATATATATAGATAGATATATTGATATATAGATATATAGATATATAATATATATATTTATGTATAGACATGAGGTGGTCCTTTTTTTTTTTCTTTCTTTTTTTTTTTAAACATTGATTATTTAATATCCTTTTCTTTATGCAAGCATGAGTTACCTTCTACTAAGAACATGCTTTTTTATAAACTTCAAGGATAACCAGCTTAACAGCTTAAACAGTTTACCTGGTGGGAATAGAATGCCAGCTCACTGCACACTCACTTCTTTTCCTACTCTCCTCCAGAGGCGCTGAGGTGTCTGACTGTGGTCAGTACCTCATCATCACCACACAGCAAGATTGTCGTGACAATCTCCTGTATTATGCACCTTTGCCTGAGCACGTCAACAGCAAAATAGATCTCACCTGTATTATAGACACCTTTGAGGCTGACTATGAGGTTAGTTAAATTAGTTGAAGGGTACTTTTTTTGCTTGCATGTTAAATGTTCTGGCCTGGTGATTCATAAGGTGATTTTGTTTTGATGGAACCTGTAAATAGGTGCTGGTAGCTCAGGCAGAGGTGTTTAGTAATGATAGTGTATGTTAAACTATCTTATCTTTTCTGTGTTGTCTCCTGTCATAGCTTCTAGTTTGATGATGATCCTTTTTGACTGTTGCAGTTCTGCCAAGGTGTCTCACTGCGGTACTTACCTATTTGCTTTTCCTCGTGAGGGTTGTCGAGACAACCTGGTGTACTTTGCACCCCTGCCTGAGAGTCTCACCTGCAAATTAGAGCTCACTTGTATTGTCAACAAGTTTGAGTTTGATTATGAGGTTAGAACAGATTTGCTGTAGGTAATTTTTCTCTTTCTAGACCTATGTCTTGATAACCCATTGATGCCAAGTACATGCGTTGTCAAGTATTTTGTATTGTTTTTCTTTGCACACAGATGGCTCCACACTTATTTAGTCACCAAGGAGTCAGTTACTAGGTCTACCTGAACTCTTCTATTTATACTTCTCCTTGAGTTGAAAGGAAAGAAAAACTATTACTATTACCATCATGAATATTCTTATTATTGAAATTAGTGTAATGTACATAACCATAATAAGAATATGAAGACAAAAACATTTTTTCACAAAAACACAAGGAATAGGATAATAAGGCTAGGTCAGAGAAGTGATTGCTTGGTTACAAAGTATTCTTTAAGCCATCTATGTTTAAGAAAGAATTTTTAAAAAATTAAAAAAACATATGGACAGTGCATGTATACATGCATTCTATGATAGGTTAACTATATCTAGTACTATGTTATTGAATATGATTTATTAGATAGATATGGATTTAGAAACAATCATGTTACTCTTGTTAGGGATGAAGTTGTGTTGTTAAAAAGAAGGTAGATGTAATGTCAATGTTCTTTACATGTGCTACTTTCTTGTGATTGTGATTGATTGACAGCATGCATGTGTGTATGTATGTTTGGAAATGTTGCTTAGTTTGTAAATGTACTTAATGTGGATAGTCTGTATAAGGTTGTTTTTTTTCTGGATAAGCTGAAATAATAACAACAAGGAACTGAAATATATCTGAGCCTGTCAAAAAATGTAATTTAATAATAACGAATCTTTATCTATCTCTTTTTTTATCAAGTACATTACAAACGATGGATCAGTTTGTGTGTTCAGAACCAACAAGGGGGCACCCAACTACCGCCTCGTGAAGATTGATCTGAGTGACCCTGCACCAGAGAAGTGGGTCACCCTTGTGCCTGAACACAAAAAGGATGTCCTGGACTGGGCTGCATGTGTCCACAATGATAAACTAGTTATATGCTACATTTCTGATGTCAAGGTAGGGAAATTTGCAGATTTTGCATATGTCACTTTGTGATTCACTTGCATAGAGATGATGAATTCTGCTGAAATAGTTATTGCTTGTATTATTAACCCATTGGATCTGGATTCCTGTTGGCCCACAAGTGGCTTATTTAAGTGGCAACTCTCTTGGGTGGATGGCTTGTAGGCCTGGCTCACACAAACATTTTCCTATGTTTGTCATTTGTTATGTTTTTAATCTTTAGAAGAAATATTGTTCATTTGGTGATCCTCTTCATTCTGTTTTTAATTATCACTCCAATTCCATGTCCATTGTCTTTCAGAGTGTTCTGCAATTACACAGTTTAGCAAATGGTGACCACCTTACAACTTTACCGCTTGAGATTGGCACTGTCAGTGGATACTCTGGGAAACGCACTCATTCAGAAATGTTCTACCAGTTCACATCCTTCCTCTCCCCTGGTATCATCTATCACCTTGATCTAACTCAGGAACCTCTGACTCCAAAGGTAAAGTCCCTCAGGATATTAACCATTCATCTTTTATATATTGTATTGTCGGATACAGGTTTTAAAATGTATCATTTTGAATCTTAGAACATATTTTATATATATATATATTTTTTTTTTTCTCAGGTCTTCAGAGAAATCAAGATTGAAGGTTTCAATCCTGCTCAATTTGAAATGAAACAGGTGTTCTACCCAAGCAAGGATGGCACCAAAATCCCCATGTTCATAGTCCATGGTAAAGACATGAAGATGGATGGTACTGCACCAACTCTACTCTATGGATATGGAGGGTTCAATATCAGCATCCAGCCATACTTCAGTGTCTCTAGAGTCATCTTCATGCAGCTCTCCAAGGGCATCTTGGCTATACCCAATATTAGAGGTGGTGGGTGAGTAGGCTTTGATCATCATCCAGTTTGCCACAAAATAATAGCAGTAGTTTACCCACATGTAACAGGATCTCCCAGCATTATATGGAACCATGCACAGGGTGGCATAAATGGTTAGCTATTTAAAGGAAAAATTAGAAGCATGGTCAATGCAAATTTACCCCTCTATAGTCTTGGCTCTGGTATAAAGGCTTCTTTCAGTAATGTGAAGCTAAAAAGAGGCTGTAAGCCTACTTTTGAGGGTCTGTTTCTCCTCAGTGATCGCAGCCAGGGTCAAACAAATTAACAACTGTGTAGTGTGTTTAATTTGGAGCAGGCTTGACCATATATAGTGTGATAGTGTGTCTGTCATCATGAGTGAATTGATTTTTCAAGTTAGTGTTGTTTTGCTTATGCGCCTAAGAATTTAGGCTACTGCCTTTTTATTACACAACTCATCATGACAGTTAGTGTATAGCAGTAACATTGGGGGAAATCCCACTATATGCAGCGAACTCCCTCGCCAAAAGACTCAACATTTGTCAGAAGTCACTGGAATGAGTGACACAGAAATTTCAGGTGCTGTAATTGTAGGGCTAATAGAAATTTGTGCTGAAAAAATAAAGTGTACCCTATTAAAAGATAAAAGATAAAAAAAAAAGTTGGGGGTGTGAGAGAGTGAGAAAGAGTGAGAAAGAGTGAGAAAGAGTGAGAGAGAGTGAGAGAGAGTGAGAGAGAGTGAGAGAGAGAGAGAGTCATCTTATACTGCAATTGTTGAACTATAATATACAATCTACAATCTAAAGAATTCATATATATAAATACCTAATTTCCTTTATTTACAGGGAATATGGAGAAGCCTGGCATAATGCTGGAAGGTTGTTCAACAAGCAGAATGTGTTTGATGACTTCCAATCAGCTGCTGAGTACATGATCAGCGAGGGATACACATCGAACCGTCGCATCATCTTACAGGGTGGATCTAACGGGGGCTTGCTTGTGGGGGCTTGCATAAACCAGAGACCAGACCTATTTGGGGCTGCCATTGCTCAGGTTGGGTCAGTATCATTAGTGGAGAGAACGTTGTTCAGTTTCTCAGGATAAGCTCTTGAGACTACTTTGTATAATGGTGTAAAAGTGTGTGTGTGAAGCGGGCTGTACAATAGTGCTTTATCATTATTTGTTCTGTCATGATTTATAATAATTGGGAAATTATTTTTATGAAAAGTGAATGGCCATGTAATTGTATTTGCCATATTGCTGGAATGGTGATTGTAGCTTTGCAAGCCACTGAGCCAGACAAGTACTTACCAGATTGCACACTGAATGAAAAATAAGTTTGATTTTGAAGACATTCTGTATTAGAATATAGCCTGAACTGAGAAAATTAAAAAGTTCATGCATTGGTTTCATTGATTACATAGGGTGATGGATATGCTTCGTTTCCACAAGTTCACCATTGGATATGCCTGGTGCTCAGACTTTGGAAATCCTGATGAGAAAGAGCACTTTGAGAACATCATCAAGTACTCTCCACTTCATAATGTTCGCACCCCACCAGAGGGTGTGCAGGTGAGATAACCTCTTTGTTCAGGTATGCTCAAGCAGTGACCCACTGCTGCCAGGATGGCATGTATGTATGTGCTATGCCCATTGTGAGTTTAGTTTATTAATTGTAGTTACACAAGGATAATCTACTTAATTCATTGGCTGAGTATTTTTGGAGTCTGTGTAAAATCATTTCACAAAACAAAACTAGTGAGCATTACAAGTTGTCAGTGGCAATGGGTTTAATTTAACCGTTCTGTCAGGTTTTGGTGGCTGAGCCAGAATTATTAATTAAAATTTTTGAATTATAGTCATCTTTACCAGTGTTTGCACTTTGCATTTCCCTTTTTTTTTTATAGATGATGTAAATATATTCCTAGACAGAAGAAAGACCTCTCTCATTGCTGATATACTTTTTCTAGGAGTTCTAAGCATCTGGATAAACCCTGTATAAGCCAAACACTGGAATTATATTATTATGCCATTATATCTTCAGTTTTCCTTAGTTACTGTCAACACCAAGGACAGATGAAATATATTCAGAGGGGGAGGAGAATCCAGTGTACCTAATTTTGATTGGATTTTAACCCATTGCCGCCGGGGAAAACAAACAAAAAATGGGGAAAATGCTGTGCCTATTTTCTGTATTTTTTTGTTGTGAAATGTCTGCCCATAGATGGTTCTATTAGTGCCTGATTTGAAATGGCGGGAAAAACGTATTTTTCACTAGTGCTGTGAATATTGACGGTGTTATTTTTATTATAAACATTATAATTATTATAATGTTTAACATTAGTAACAGCAAAATAAGATAACATAAAATATTTCGTAAATCAAAGAAAAGGGTGAACGGGCGAGGCAGGCAGTACTCGTAACTGGCTTATTGGTGATTTAGTACAAGTGTTGCCATCTATGTGTAAAAACAATCAAACAGGTAATCTCATTGGGCATGGCATGGCATGCCCGTCGGGAATGGGTTAAGATTGGAGTTATGTTTCATAATAAAAAAAAATTGAAAAAAAATATGGGTAATTTTGTTCCATAATAATACAATGTAAGAATTTATTGTACTTAGAGGGACTTATTAACTAATTTCATCTATCGAAGCTGTATTGTTTGGCACTGTCACTTTGGGGCTTTGGTTTCTGTTCCATGCAAAATTACAGAAGTAACAGGAACTGAAAAATCACCTTTTTCTTACAAACCCAAAAACAAAACAAAAAATAAATGCTAAAATACTTCAGAATAAATTTCATATTTTTATTTTAAATGTGGTTGATTATGTAAATGATTGGCACATGTGATACAGTAGGCAACGATTATTCAGAAAAGAAGCCATAGTTCCTTATTTCTTGAAACAAAAAAAGTAATTGGTTTCACATTTTTTTGTAAATGATTTAATGATGTAAAAGTGATAGGCCTACATTTTACACCTTAAAGAGTTACTTTGCTACTTTCAAAAATATCCCTCTTAATTTTCATGGTATAACCATGATATAGGTGGAACAACTAAGTGATAGTTCAGACTCAATGAAAATAGTGTAAAATATATGTTAATTTTCTTTATTTTGATGCAGGAAAGGAATTTGTCATAATCATAAATTATAACAAAATTGTAAAGGTATATTCCCTTGACTTAACCCATTCGCCACGGAATTTTTCGCTCGACGCTGAACCCCGCTCACGGGAATAGTTGCCAGCCGCGTGGGCCCCCACCACGGGATTTTTTCTGGCGCGGCGCAGCTGCGCAAAGACCATCATATCAATTTTGCAGTAATCTGTCCATAGATCTTGTAGTAAAATTGGGTTTTATATAAAGGTAATGTGTAGAAATTGCACTTTTCTCATGGTGTTTTCTAGGCACTCTTTCACCTTTGCAATTAGGAGAAATACTGAATCGATTCCAAGTTGCCTATATTTACAGATGACATGAACCCTTTGAGGCTAAAAGTTAGTGTTGTTTTTGAACGATATGGCAAACTATGGACTTGGCCGGTTTTTTTTTTTTTTTTTTTTTTTTTTTCAAACTTTCAAATGAAGCAAAATATGAAGCTCAGCAGCAAGCCAAATATCATTTTGATGCTCAGAAGTAGTGCATTGTCCATATGAGAGATCAAACCATGTTTTTTTTAATTTCTTTCAATAGAAAAGGAAGAAAAGCAGAAGTGAATGTAGCTTCACTTTGATGCTCAAAAATAGCTTTGTATTGATATGAGAGGTTATACTGTGTAAGTTTAGTTGTCTATATCAACAGATGACATGACCAATCAAGTAAGACTAGCAGCAGAGCCATCTATTAGGTAAAAAAAATAACAAACAGTCAGTCTGTAGTCAGTCATCATGGCAGAAATACATGCCAAACGTTGTGGGCCAATCAAGTAAGACTTAGCTGCAGAGCCATCTATTAGGTAAAAAAAATAATAAACAGTCAGTCTGTAGTCAGTCATCATGGCAGAAATACATGCCAAACGTTGTGGGGCTCCTAGAAGCCATGGCAAGATTAGATGCCAAACGTGTTGGGGTCCATTAACCGCATGGCAAGATTAGATGCCAAACGTGGCGAATGGGTTAAAATGATGTCAGTTAATTTCTGCATCTTGATCTTGTTTGAGGAATTACATGAGTTCTAATGATAAAAAGGGTAACTAAATAGATAAATAAAATAATATAGCCTGAGAAGACATAAAATACCTGAAATAACAGATTGTCACTCACTCTGACACACACACACTGTTCACCCTACACTCACTAATTCTCCACCCTTCACCCACACACTCTTCACTCACTCCATATATTAATTTATGCAAGTATGTGTAATGTGTGTATCTACATATTTTCTTTTTCTTTCTCTCTGTTGATAAGTATATTATTCATCTTGTTCTTTTCAGTATCCTGCGACACTTTTGCTCACAGCAGATCATGATGACAGAGTAGTTCCCCTACACTCTTTTAAGCTAATTGCTGAGATGCAGCACAAGCTTGCCCAGATCCCAGCTCAAACCAATCCTTTACATATTCGTATTGAGACAAAGGCAGGCCATGGCAGAGGAAAACCAACAGCAAAAATTGTAAGTTCTGTTGATTTTTTCCCCCCCCCCTCTCTCTCTTGCTAGAACACAAAAGTGTAAGGATGCAATAGTATACTTTCAGATTGTATGCAAGTTTAAGTTTTAGAGTCATGATAAAGAGGCTAGGGACAATTGAAGAGTATGAGTAATAGAGACTAGTAATGCAGGATAAAAGAAATAAGGTGTGCTGGATAGGAAGTAACTGCTCCTAAAAATTTTCATGAGCATATATTCCCCATTCAGTAGTTTGTGAACATGATATAAACATTGTTTTGACAGATTGAGGAGCATACAGACATCTACTGTTTCATAATGCAGTCCCTTGGTCTGGAAGTTACATCGACTCCATCTGCAAGCCTTTGAGGTTTCAGTCAGTGCTACCATATCAAGAAGAGAAAAACAAAAGGAGAAAAATTGTGTGCTTTGTACAGATAATGAGACCAGAAATTGTGTTAGTAATATTACCAAAGACCGTTTTAGGTTCCAGTAGATAGTCTTTAATTATCTCTTCAAGCATTTATTGATGTTATATTTTGGTATATGACAATTTAGTCAGAAGTGGATAAAAGTGAAAACTTAACACCTTGATAAACAGATAGAACTTTCATGAACAATTTTGTATGAATACAATTCACAAAAGACAATAAAGAAGAAATCCATAACTTTCTTTCCTTTGTGTTACACTTCCCCTACATCAGCTACTGATGAACATCAAAAGTAGGTTTTAATACAAGTGTGAGAGTTCTACATCAATGCCCTAACAATTACAGTTGGGTCTGTCATCATTACTGATTTCTCTACCAAGTATATTTTAAATGGAGTTAATGAATTATTCTTACAATAACATTAACAAATACATTACCAACAAGTTTTCAGCTAAAATTAGGAAAAAAGAAATACCTAAGCACAGTGCCTACTTCCATCTCCAGAAACATTTACTTAACTTGTAAGAAACATTAAATTAAGAAACATTAAATTACAATATCAACAAATCTATTAGATTCAAATAAATATGCTAATCTGAATGTACAGTCACATACAGCTACAACCTTAAATATTCAGTAACTATAAGGGAACTAAGAGGAAGCAACTTTTTTTTTTTCTTTGATGGACTTTTCAGAATATAATAGTCAAAATTCCTAGATTACACTTTTATTATTTTTTGACATCTAAATACCACATACTGAGGTGAAAATATCCTAACACATCTTTTAGTTTAGTGCATTTTGTATTTCATTTAGATGTTTCTAACAATTTAGAATATAAGAGGTTACAAATATGTGTACAGAAAACATTCTGAGGTATGATGATACTATTTACTCCTACAGGATACACAATTGTCCATTCTTGCTGTTGTCAAAGGTACCTGTAAAGTATTAAACATGCTTCTTAAAGACAGATTTCAACATATCAAGTACAAGTATGAAAAAATTAATGATGCTTGGTGTTTCAGCATTGGCAGACTGGACAAAGTGTTTTTAACAAGCCATGTTAACATATACAGACACATACAAAGATTACTAAATTACTGGTTTCCACACCATCTGGTTGTATTTCCAATTTCTATTATGGCACTTACTTTTACTGACAGTTCAATAATTGTCATACGATTTTAAATAACTAGATTGATATGCAAATAATCACTAAGCAGGGTTAAATGGGGATGTATGCTCATCAGGTGAATCCATTTCTAAGCAATATGGGCAACATGCTACAAGAAATGTTTCAGGGATGCCTTCCATAGGAATCACTAGCACTAGAATTATACATCCCATTAAGTGTATCTGGAATGATTACATGTAATCACGTGTGGGTGAAGCTCATCTGAACTTTTTAAAGTTGATTTACAAAGCTAAGTAAAAAATAATGAAACTTGATTCTGGCCATGTAAGCTTCCTGATGAGAGCCTTTTTTCTATGTTACTTGGTGTATTGCATTGTATCACAGTTTTTTTTTTTTCAATTCAAAATTCAGTACACTAAGATTAAACAGCATATCAAGTGGATACTATATTACTAGTATTATTGTGTTTTAACTGGGGTGGGAAGGGCTAGGGTTAATTTATGTGCCAAGACATAAAGCAGTAAAATTTGATGATTATAACAACAATGGCATATCTCTAGAGAGAACACTAAAATAACTGACATATATGTAAGAGGAATTATTACATATTAAATCTATCAACAGCTTACAAGTAGATAAATAATATTTACATATATTGCTGACCTGACAAATGTGCACATTACTAACAAATGAATTACATCAGTTTAAATTTGATGCCACAACATGAGAATAATCAGGCCTCACTTTTAAGTGGTTTTGTTTATATAAAAAAATGAAGGGTAATACTTTCATCAGTGTAGTAGGTGTGGTGCAGTGAGATCTTACATGCATAACAGTTACAATTACAAGTAAAAATATCTTAAAAGGTTTGAGCCACAATAACAATAGTTTATTAATACCTTAAGAATTATATGAAGGAAAATTTCATTCATTTTCATTATTTCTCAGTGCAGAGCAGGATGAACATGAAGATCTGCAGGAATGAGCATGTCACAGCACCCTTGGCAATAAACAAGTGTTATTCTTTTATAATTTTATGTGATGTAAAATCTGATTGCACAATAACTTTCCAGTAAAGTTACTGGCACGTCACTACACAGAACAACAATTTTTAAGCAATTATTTGGTGCCTATTACTTAAACTGTTGCACTTATCTGCAGCTTTTTCTTAGTGTATGGATGAACAAAAGCTACATTACATATACACAGATTTCATATTTTACACAAATATCCATTTTTCATACTTAATCCATAAAAAAAAACATGTCACTGGAATGAAGGGGAGACTAGAAGTTTTAGATATAACTATTGACCTAAAAACACATTCTTTCACTCTGGTAGTTTCAACCTACAACATGCATGGAGTACTCTATTTGCAAACCCTTATATAACAAAATACAGGTGAAAATGGATGCATTATACACCAACAGCTATGTACATTTATAAATGCAGAGATAGTCATTTAAATATCCATGTTGTGAACACATTGATAATCCTTTAGAATAATTAGAATTAAAGCACCTATATATTCTTTTCCCACTGAATATTCTAATGACTGACAATTACCAATCATTATGACAAAAATAGGATGCTGAAAAGGTTTTAAAAAGGTATCATACTTCAGAGAACATTTAGCATGAAAAAAAAGAAAAAAATCTATTATCATATATACATAAACACAAATGGCCTGTCTATTTGTTGCATTAATTCATTCGTTAGTAATATTCTGGTCAGGTTGCCTGGTACTGTTGTATGAGATCCATAGGCCCAGCAGGGGCTGCATACTGCTGGGTGTAGTTGCTTGTTGTGCTCAGGATTTCTCTTCGACTGCGATACTTCTGCTGCTTTGTCATCTACAGGTGAAAATATGTGGCATGAGTTTATCTTGTAAAGTAGACTTCATACACATGCACACACATACACATCCCAACCTACCTCTTCATGCAAGAACTATCAAAATATATAAAATATATAAATTTGACAAATGCTCCCACCATGTTATGAATAAAACTCACCGCATCCTTCAGTTCTGTAAGTTGTGAGATGAGGTTGTCAACTAATGATTTTAGGAGATCTAGTTTCAGGCTGAGACAGCGGACATCATTGACTTCTCCTTCGGTTTCTCCAATGCTGAGAGACATGGCACGCATTCGTGGGAACCAGTTCAAGTCTTTCTCCTAAGAATTATAAAGAAAATATAATAAATTTTAGGAAAATATACTTCCAAAATTTTTGAGTGAAGAGGCACAAAAACTAATAGCACTAAAGAAGTATTGATGAATACGAAAAAAATATTTCCACACTGACAAACTTACCCTGACAAGAGTATAAACATAACTTTCTGGACCAGTGAACTCCGTAGGATCTTTAACATTAACCTGTACGTAGAAGTATAGGTAATGCCACATGTTGTGTTCTCGCTTTATGTGATCCTCAAAGTTCACTGCCTTATTGTCAAAACTTGCACGCTTCAGACCTGTCCCAAAGGAAATAAATATTCAGTTTTCTGTAAACATTTTGTGTTTGAGAATATAAATATATGCATAATCATAAATATAAGCATATTCAACATAGTTCTGAATTACCTGAAAGACAATAACAATTGCAATAATGATAGACAAATATGGCATGCATAAATAGGCCTATTTATTCATATTTTTTTTATATAGGGACCTTAAAATTAATCAGATTGCAATACTACATATAATACTGAAAAACTACAAATATCAAGTAAGTACAATATCACCATCTATCATATAATTGTCATGGTAGAACTTTAACTTTCAATAGCAAGGCAAGATAATACTCCTCAGTTGACGGTCCAACCTACTGATATATTATTGTAATTGTGTCTGTTTTTTATACATCTTGTCTTACAAAAAATTATACTAAAAAAAAACTATACGAAAGTTAATCCGTTAAAACATACCACAAATGAAGCATGAGTTTTTCAAAATCTCTTCAGAATTCTGCTTCTCACTCCTGAGATCCGCAAATGTGTCAATAATCACACCAAAGATGAGGTTCAACACAATAATGATCACAATGAAGAAGAACAGGAGATCGTAAATGACTCGTGGCACAAAGTAGTTTTCCTGAAAAAAAAAAAAATATATATATATATACACATATTATAAAGAATGAGATAAGATCAGTGAGAACCCATATAATTCTCACAATATACAATATAAATAATCTATTAGTCAGGAGAACACAACATGAAGAGACTCACAGCAGTTGAAGGTGGCCGGAGAATGTCACCAATGCCTCCACCACTTCGCAGTCCATGATTCAGCGTTGTGACAATGCACATGAGGAGGGATGAGCAAGCATTTTCCTTCATGTCACCCACTTCTACCAACAGTTTTGACTTGTCTTCCAGCGATGCAATAACTTCTGTTGCTACATCCTTTGCAACTGCAAAAATGGATAGCAAATAAAAAATGAAAGAAGGATCCCAAATAATAATTGCTCTCTCTCTGGTATATGTGCTTTTGTTTTTCAGAATATATAGTATACCATACATCAATTTAAAACACAAAGTATTGCTATATCATAAATATACAATAACTTTTACAGTTTGTTGTAGAAGAGGAAGCTGAAAGTAAAATCACAAGAACTATATCATGATTCCAAATATACATAGCAATGTTCTTTTGATTTAACTTTCACATTAATTTTTCAAGTTAGTGGCACACACACACACACATCCCTTGCTCGTTGTTGTCATGGCTGAGGCCAAATGTAAGAGATCACCCCTAACTTGGACCTCAGCCATTGCCTGATTTTGCATGTTCTTTTCTTCTCCCCCTTTCCATTTCCTTCTCCTCTTCATCCCTTTCTCCTCTCCACATATCCGAATTTAAATCTTTTTTACCCTTTTTGCCTAAACACTTCATCATAGAGCTGTAAGACATTTGATGTCTAGCACATTTATTTGTTTTAACCATTAACTACTACCACTCAGGACCAATCTATGGAAAGTAATGAGCCTAGGAGATAAAAGTTCCTGCAACCAGCTCCTCCCTATACTGTCCTGGTATGCTGGTACTTAGGCTAGCAATCACACAGACTGCAGCAACTCGACCAAAGTCAGCACAAATAAAATAGTTATATGAAGGAGAGCAAGTTAAAAAGATTCCAAAGTTGCATACAAAATTATACACATTACATATTTCTAGACACTGGATATATGGATAAAAATCCAGAATACAAAATTTTGAGATTATAAGCAAAAGTTCAAGATAAAAACCACACAATATTCCTTTAAGAGATGTAGATACTGACACACAACTATCTATACTATCTATACCATAAACAATGTCATGGCTAAATAAACTCTTACCCAATTAGCATGGATGGCAAGACTATAATGCCATGCCCAGTCCTAATAATAGTTTAATAATCATAATATCAATAAGAATAATAATAATGTCAAAATTAAGAGTATTAGAGAGAAAAACACATTCACCCGCAAATTCTAGGACTGGGGAAATCAGGTGTAGTCACTAGGACCTACTGACAGACTGAGCACATGTGGAGCCATCTGTATGTAACAAAATTCACAAAAAAATTACAGGGGACAGTTCATAAACCCATAGTCATTGCGTTAAGCAAAGCAACATTAATAAGCTACACTTACAACTCTTTGCCTCATCATCAGTGCAATCTACACCAATTTCGCATGTGTCTTCAACTGAAAGTGGCTTCAACTGATTGGTCACATACTCCTGGACTCTTTCATCAATGTCCATTTTTATTGTGTCTGAAATAAGTATGGGTGTATCAGTCATCACCATCAGTATCATCCTTATCTTGATAATATCAACAATATAGACAATAATTTTACTATGGAAAATGCACTCCTATGAACTACATTTAAGAGTAAACCTTTGCTACTCACCCCAGTTCACAACACTCTCTGTAACATCCACTATAAAGTCATTATTGAAGAATGTGTAGCCAATGATGGAGAATAAGTACACTAAGATGAGAGCAAGTGCTGCAGTCAAGATGATAGACCAGCCATTGCGTGTGACAGACCTCATCACATTTAGCAGTGTCTCCTCTCTGTAGACTACATCAAACAGCTGTGGGAAAAGGACAAAGAATTACCACTGGTTCATTGTAAAACAAAATCTTAATAAAGGATATTTTCAGCATAATACTAAAGAATATTATCAGGAACAAAAAGAGTACTGAGATTTAAAATTGAATTTACAAGAATAATACTAACATCATGATACAAATGACCAATAACAAATACTACTAAGCAAACTTTCAAATATGAATACCTTGAGCACTGGCTCAGGGCAGAATATTTGATCTAAAAAGGTAAAACATCTCAGCCACTTTTTTACTTTTTTTTCCTAATTTTCTCACAAAGAAGGGAAAAGAAACATAAAAAACACAGTTAAAAAAAAAAAAAAAAAAAAAAAAAAAAAAAAAATGAAATTTGGGAGTCTAACTTGAATAAAGGGTAAAAAGAAGTGACAAAGATATGCCTTATCCTTACCTCATCTTCATGGCTAATACAATTAAACTATTTCACCCCAAGAAATATATGTATACTCTTTACTATTCCCCCACCCCCAAAAAAGTGATAATAAATTGAAAAGCAGAAGTAACTTACAATTATATGCAATGATTTTAGATCAGTCAAAGTGTAGGGCTCATTTCAATGAAATGCATAAGATCAATGAGAACTCACTAATGAGTTTCAGAAACCAATAAATCCAAACCAGAACTAAAATATAAACACCATCCCTTACTATATAAAAAAAACAGCACATGAATGCCTAAAAACAAGCAACAATATCTCTAAAAAGTTAAATACTTCACTGGAAACTTACCAATACTGAATAACAGAATGGGTGCACAGACAGGCCCAGGACACAAAAGACCAGGTAAACCATGTGATACGACAGCTCTCCATCTGTTACTTTCTGCTTGAGGCTCTTGGCAAATGTTCCTTTATTCCCCATTATACTCACTAAGTGAACACCTTTTATCAACACCTGTGAAGATTACATCAAGTATTAAGTAACATTTTTTTCCTACCTATATACATATATATCAATATTTCCTTCAAATTTGACATATAAATGAATAAATAAATAAATAAATATATATACATACACACACACACAAACATTTATGTATGTGTATGTGTACGTGCATGGGTATGTGTATGTGTGTGTGTAAGTATATATGTATATGTATATACATATTTATTATATATATTTGTGTATTTAGTAAATACATATGTATATACATATATTATATCTATATACACACAAATATACATATCTGCAAATATATGTGTATATATATATTTATATAAATAATATATATAAATATGTATATATACATACATATGTGTATGCATATGTATGTATATTTATATAGGTATGTGTTTATATAAATATAAATGTATACATATACACAAATATACATACATATATATATATATATATATATATATATATATATATATATATATATATATATATATATATATATATATATATATACATATATATATATAATATATACATATGTATATAAATATACCTATAAATAAATATATATACAAAAACACACACACACACACCACACACACACACACACACACACACACACACACACACACACACACACACACACACACACACACACACACACACACACACACACACACACACACACACACACACACACACACACACACACACACACACACACACACACACACACACACACACACACACACACACACACACACACACACACACACACACACACACAAAACACACACACACAAACAAACAAACACAAAGAAACAAACACACACACAAACAAACACACAAACACACACACAAACACACACACACAACACACAAACACACACACACACACACACACACACACACACACACACACACACACACACACACACACACACACACACACACACACACACAAACACACACACACAACACACACATACAAACAAAAACACACACACACACATAAAATGTTCTACAAACTACAACTGCCTATCTATATAAACTTACGTTTGCACTCCCCAGTAACCATAGTGCCGGTTCAGGTCCAAAAGAGAATATCACTCTCATTATTGATAAGAAACCTAGGATGTACATAAATACTTTTTTTGGTAAAGTTACGACAATGGCAAGGGCTATCAGCAAAACTACCCACAACAGGCCGTTCACATGGCTATTAACATCTGTAAGAAGACAGAGAGATAAAAAGAGAGATTAATATCAAGGCTACAATCTGGAAATTAGATTACAATTTACAATTTTTCATACTATAAAAATATTTAGAAAAAGGATTCAATGACGAAAAATTAGTCAAATAGAACTTACTTGGCAACTGACTAGTATACGGATAGAAGAATGCTACGATGAGATTGATGACTACAGCTAAAATGAACAGCAACCTCCCCCACAGAGACATATAGTTGCTTATGGTTGATAACACCGCTTGGCCTGCACACAAAATGAAATTAGAATTAGCATTAATTATGTTATTGTTTATTGAGCCCAACATTTTTTATGAATAGCATGATTGTATAGGGTATAAGAAAAATAAAAAGAAAAAGAAAGAGAGAGAGAGAGAGAGAGAGAGAGAGAGAGAGAGAGAGAGAGAGAGAGAGAGAGAGAGAGAGAGAGAGAGAGAGAGAGAGAGAGAGAGAGAGACAGAGAGAGAGAGAGAGAGAGAGAGAGAGAGAGAGAGAGAGAGAGAGAGAGAGAGAGAGAGAGAGAGAGAGAGAGAGAGAGAAGACAGACAGAGAGAGAGATGGGGGGGGGGGGGGGGGAAGGTGACAAGAAAAGAGGAAAAAAAGAGATAAGAGAGCAATGAGAGGGATAAGAGAGGGATGAGAGGTAAAATATATGAAGTGAGAGATAAAAGTTGAGAGATAAAAGAAGGGGAAAAGAAACATGACGTGAGAAGTGAGAGATGGAGATGAGAGGTAAAATGCAAAGATAAGAGGTGAGAGATAATAGATGAGAGGTGAAAGGTGAGAGAGAGAGACTGAAATGGATTGAAAGTCAAAAGTCTATACACATTCAAATGAGAGATGATTGAACTTTAGGGGTGAAACACTTCTGCACAATCAGTGCAAATGCATTTTGATTTTAGAAATACCTGACCTATTCAAATGTGTCACATATCAATACATATACATTTTTCATTTTCAACCCTTCTTAAATATCCTCTTGATGCAAGGTACCCTTAAAATACATGATGACAATCTCAAGAACAATGAAATCACTGCAACGTAAATAGCAGTCACCCATATATTGAAAATTCAAGTGACTCTTGTTAACCCGATGCTGCTAGGAATGGCATGTAAGTTTAGTTTATTAATTGTCTTTACAGACTGATGGCTCCACAAGTACTTAATTATCAATGAGCCAATTACTAGCACTACCTATCGCATCTATATACTCTATTTTTTTGTTTTCAGAAATATTTTCTTTAATTTTCTATTGCTATCAGCAATGTCAATAAAACTATAATAATCAGATATCTATAATGATAATAATAACAGCATCAATATAAGTAGCAATAAGAAATGGGAAATCAGGCAAGATCATGAGGTCAATTAACAATAATTTAGGTGAATAAACAGTTAATACTACATTTTCCCAGCAGCACTGGCTTAAAGGCCCTAATATCATTAAAAAAAAACAATACAATATTATTATAAAACTTGAAGTAAATATTAATAATAATAATAAAACTGCTTGAATCTCAAACATACTCTTCAGCTTTTTCTGCCACTGCATCTCCCTGAACATTTCTTCACATTTCTCAAAGAAGTCAGGAACTTTTGAAGCTTGCTCATCACGCTCAGCAGTGTTGTAAACCCTGATCTTTGTTTCATTTGTCAGGTATTTGCAAATTTCTGGGATTGGGAAAACAATTTGCTCCATTGTCCTGTCACTTCTAACAATCTGGAAAGAAAAAAGATGATTTCAGTTCAGTCAGTTCCAAACTGTATTACGAATAAGGTTTTCTGCAATTAACCCCTTGGTGCCGGGTATGACGTGTACACACGTGCTATGCCCACCGTGAGTACTTGTTTGATTGTTTTTACGCATAGATGGCAACACTTGTACTAAATCACCAATGAGCCAACCACGAGTCCCACCCGTCTCGCCCGTTTACCCGTTTCTTTGATTTACGAAATATTTTACGTTATCTTATTTTACTGTTACTAATGTTAAAAAACATTATAAAAAATATAATGTTTATGATAAAAATAACACCATCGATTTTCATAGCACTGGTGAAAAATACGTTTTTCCCGCCATTTAAATCAGGCGCTAGCAGAGCCATCTATCGGCAGACATTTCACGAAAAACATAGAAAGTGGGCACAGCATTTCCTCCATTTTTTGTTCATTTTCCCCGGCACCATTGGGTTAAAATATCAATGGATTACTTGTGTCTCATTCATAAACAAATATCTATCTCTTCCATCACCTTTCAAAAGGGCCCATATCTGTTTGTGTATTATACAAAAAAAAAAAATCATATAATAGTAGAAATTCCTGGGTTTCTAATTCAGAGCCAATCTATATAGGTGCATATGAGTCATCTCCTCACCTCAATCTGTGCGGTGTTCTCTTTGTAGTGCCGCAGCGCTTTGGTGTACTTGTCATTCCCTGTTTTAGAAAGTAAGTCTTCCAGGTCCTTATTGTGTTTGGCCAACTGATGGCAAAGGATGTATATGTTATGGCCCACCTGTTGGAATCAAGAGAATTATTTCACTGCCTCAGAGCTACACCTGAATACCAGCAGCTAGAAAGGAAAATGTTTTTAGGTTGTAATAGTCATGCATATCACATCCTCCTGATGATTAAAAGTTGAAATATAATGGCTATAACTATCATTAATAAACAAAGAAATATTTGATTACAATCTAATAACTGTGCTGGGCTGCTTAACAGCAAATGGATGATGGAAAAAATTTAAGACGCTCACCTCCCTAGGAGATACTCCGTCTTCATTTTCTGCAGTTCCATCATCAAAGAATTCATCATCATCCATGCTCTCCTGGTGATACAGGTTACACACCACATCCAGCTGAGGAAGTGAGAGCAAGCTGTTGTTGGCTTTTTAGCAAGACAAGCAAAGCAAATCTGCTCGAAGCTAGAAATCTCAGATTTGGTCCTAATTGACAAACGTCTACTTAAGCCATAACATTGTATCTATGATGTCTAATTGTAATTTCTATGAAAATACGTAAATCTATGCTTTTATTTACATTTAACTAATTGATGATACTGCATTATGAGATTTGGGTTATCAACTAATCAGTTTTACTGCAAAATTAATTTGTAATTAGTTGCAAAACACTGCAAGACATATCTGTTAATTCTTAAATGCAAATTCTATTGCAGAAACCAATTTCGGAAAAAAAAAACACACACAAACATGCCCAGTCATTCAATCATTTGTTTTATAATTTCCAATTAATTCTTTATTAAAACTCTGTTTTAGCTTCAGAAGTAAAGTAAAGTAGAGTAAAAAAAAAAAAAAAAGTATTTATATATATATTACATCAGATATCACAAGTTGGCTCATTTTTAATTCAATAAAATGGTTAATCTCCTCATAACATACCTGTTAAAGGATTATCATGTGAAATGACTCTGTATCAGATATAAATGTTTCACATTATTTTGTCCTGAAGTTATGAGTAACAATGAAAGTGGATGAAGAGGCCCATAAAATTACCATTATATAAAAGACAAGAAATATATATATTCATATACTGTTGTATGACATCTTTCAAAAATAAAAAAAAGCCTTACTACAAATGGAACTATTTCCATAAAATAAAGAATAGTAAACTTACAACCACTGTCAAACAAAATAAGGAGTTTGTGAATCTCTCCCTTCTTGAGCTTCTGACTTCCAATATAACTAATAATTATTGATAA